TCCTTTTTTAGCCAGTGCGGTGCTAAAGGAAATCAACCAATGCGCGGTCGCAGGCCGCAGCTTCAGGGCTGGGCTGGCCGATGCAAATGATCACGGGGAGAGTGTGGCCTCTCCTCCAAACCAGTGCGGGGCGACCCTCCAGCAAGATGTAGTTCGGTCTTTGCTGTGCCGCGGGAGTTCTGTACCAGACCATGCCGTCAACCACGAGGACGTTGCGAATGTCATCGTGCGTGAGCAGTGCCACGATGCGGAACCGAGCCCGAAGGTCCTGTGCAATGCAACGAAGCGACGCCTTCAGTGCCGGCCCTGACTCTGCGTCCGGCTCCTGCGGTGCCGGGCCTTGCCCTGCCAGTGAAGCCACAAACCTGCAGTGCTGCTGCCACAAAACGCTGCTGTACCAGTTGCGGAGAATGCGCTGCAGCAGCTTTGCGCGCGCGGCCGGCCACGCGCTGTGCAACTCGATGCGGCGCACCTCGTTGCGAGACCGCTGCGGCCCCAGCAAAGCACGCCCGGGGCTATCATTGCAGGGCCCTCGTGGAAAGGGATGCAATACTCAAGGAATCCTGGGCTTGCCAGTGCGCCAGCTGTGCGGGGCGGGTCGAACAAACCCAAACTCCAAAGAACAAATCCAGTGCTTTGCGGTTGTGCCAGCCGGCTGCTAGCCAGGACAGCGCGTCAGAACCATGCGAAGGCGAAGCCATGCCATGCTGTGCGAGCTAGAAGGTATTGCAGTGCTGCTGTGTGGTGCAAGTTAGTTGTGAGAATGCGGCGGTCTCCCGGCGTGAGATCCCACAAACCCGCCATTCTGCGGTGCACGGTGCTATGCAGGAAGGATATTTGTCGCCTGTCCTGCAGATCAAGGTAGCGGAGCAAAATGCAGGCAGCGCGTTGCGACAGGAAAATTTCAGGCAGGCTTCCCGAAATACATTCTGCTGTGCCAGGATTGTTGCTGTTAAGGTGCAAGAGGGCCTCCACCAGAAGTGCCGTGCGATGCTGATACAAAGGCGGCTCCGGCGTGGCAATGCGTTGCTTCTTGTTGCCCTGTGCGACATGGCAAGAAGCTGAAACTAGAAAGAAGGCGCTAATCAAGCTCATCCAAGCCGATGCCAGGCGATGCGTCGGTGCATTCAAGCAGACCCTCTAGCTGTGCAATGCGACGCTCAAGTGCACAAAGATGACCCCAGAGGTTCTGCACCCTCAGGCTGAGCTTATCAATGCGCAAGTGCAGCTGAGTAGAGCATTCTGGGTGTCCTCTGCGAGATCCTGAATGGCCTTCACCAACCTGGCAGTGCGAGGCGAGTCCGGAGGCCGAGCCGAAGAAGCCATGCGGGGGCAAGGCGAAACGGCTGCGGTGCGAAACGATGCTAAGCGAAGCTTAAGAGAAAGCTGCTCTTGTTGCTGAAAAAGAATGCATGCTAGGGCTGCTGCCCGTCACGCAGTGTGATCTATGTGGTTTGAGCATCAGTGGCAAAGCGGTGCGTCACATGACAACACATAGAAAACACTGCTGACTAAACAAACAAACGCCCAGCGAGCGAAAACATCCCGCTCCCACAAAATTGAAATCACACCCCAAAACACTCTTTCGAACGAAATATGAGATTGAAACCTTTAGCAGGCAATGTTTCGACGGCACAGGGCTACGAGTGAACGAGTTCACAACTTCAGGATTTGGTGGTCTTGGGGTTTACACGGGTTCGGGCTATATAGTTTGAGGCTTACACCAGGGTTTCAGGATCTAGGGTGGTTTAGGGTTCAGAGCTTGCTTGATGTTTATAATGTAATGTAGTACTGTAGGCTACTCTCAACCCTAAACCCAGTATGTTTTGGGACCCTACACCCTAACCCTAAGCCCCGTGCGTTTTAGGATTCTTCCCGAAAGCATCGCGAAGGGTTCTTCCGTGCGGAGCCCTCGAGAGAAGTACATAGATGACAGTCGAGTACATAGATGACATGCATCGAGTGAAGTACATAGAGTCGAGTACATAGATGACTTACCAGGACTCTAACTCTATGCTTTGTATGCGAGGACTCTATGCATTTGACTCTATGCACTTGACTCTATGACTCTGTGACTCTATGCACTTGACTCTATGACTCTATGCTATGACTCTATGTACTTGACTCTATGAATTTGACTCTATGTACTTGACTCTATGACTCTATGACTCTATGCTATGCTATGACTCTATGCACTTGACTCTATGACTCTATGCTTGACTCTATGCACTTGATTCTATGACTCTATGCTATGACTCTATGCACTTTGCTTGACTCCCTACATTTCGGTACATCTTACTCTCTCTTAAGCTCGATCGGGAATGCAACCCTTCACAGGGATTGGCCTGGTCGAGCGCCCAAATGCTAGGTAAAATTACACATTTTAGGCGCCCCGCGCAACTCTTTGCATGGATTGGCCTGGTCGCTCGACCAGGCCAATCCATGCAAATGGTTGCGCGTGAACCCTAAAATGTGCAACTTTACCTACACATTTTAGGCGCCGCGCGCAACCCTTTGCATGGATTGGCTTGGTCGAGCGCCCAAACGCAAGGTAAAGTTACACATTTTGCGGTCGACACGCAACCCTTTGCGTGGATTGGCTTGGTCAAGCGCCCAAACGCTTGCTAAAGTTACACATTTTGCGGTCGACGCGCAACCCTTTGCGTGGATTGGCGTGGTCGAGTGCACGAACTTGCAACCCTTCATTGGCGTGATCGAGTGCGCGAACGCGAGGTAAAGTTGCTACTTTGAAGCGCTTTTGCAACCCTTCACAGGGATTGGCACTTTGCAGCCATTCACAAGGATTGGCATGGTCGAATGCACGAACGCTAGGTAAAGTTGCTACTTCTTGATGTGCATTAAGATGAATTTTGCAACCCTTCACAGGGATTGGTGTGGTCGAACGCACGAACGCGAGGTAAAGTTACTACTTTTGATGTGCATTTGAAGTGAAATTTGCAACCCTTCACAGAGATTGGCGTGGTCAAGTGTTCGAACGCGAGGTAAAGTTAACATTTTTGCTGCGCATGAAAGTGTAGTAGTAATAGTAGTAATAGTAGTAATAGTAGTAATAGTAGTAATAGTAGTAATAGTAGTAATAGTAGTAATAGTAGTAATAGTAGTAATAGTAGTAATAGTAGTAATAGTAGTAATAGTAGTAATAGTAGTAATAGTAGTAATAATAGTAATAGTAGTAATAGTAGTAATAGTAATAATAGTAGTAAGAGTAGTAATCAGAGTAATAGTAGTAATAGTAAAATAATAGTAATAATAGTAATAGTAGTAATAGTAGTAATAGTAGTAATAGTAGTAATAGTAGTAATAGTAGTAATAGTAGTAATAGTAGTAATAGTAGTAATAGTAGTAATAGTAGTAATAGGAGTAATAGCAGTGTTAGTTGTCATAGTAGTAATAGTAGTAATAGTCGTAATACTAGTAATAATAGTAATAGTGGTAATAGTGGTATTAGTAGTAATAGTAGTAAGGTGACAAGGCTCCGTTCACACACAGATGTGGTAACATTGCTAATCTTGTCTGGAAGTTTCGCATGCTTTCCATGTCTTTGTTGGAAAAAGCCCGGATGGAAAATTTTCCCTTTGAAGACCTTCAGCATGATGAACAGGTGGATGTTCACTGGCATGAAAAATTACCTAATGCTCGGAAGTCCAGCCCCAAGCTTGCACTCCCTTGTGGATGGGATGTTAAAGAACTCTGTCTGCAGCTTATGCATCAGCATTCCCTTTGTGCTGCCTGTAAGAACATGACTACCAGACACCTTCTTTTGACTGTTGAGGAGCTTGATGCTTTAATACGGTACAGACCCGATCCCCTTCCTGAAACAACTTTCGGAGTGAACTGGATCACGCAAAAAAGAAGGAAGAGGCGATGGCTTACTTGGGAACAAGCGTTAGGCATTTCACAGCAACAGACTTGCACCAGTTTTGTAGACCACACACTTCAAGAATGGCAACAGATGGATGTTGCGCAAATCAAAAACACATTCGTACCCGCATGTGCTGTTAAGAAGCAGTTTAGAGGTAAGCTTAAGTTCTTGTTGAATATCAAAGCTTCGCTTGAAAACAACCAAAATTTTGCTGAGGTGGAAGGACATCACCTCAGTCACATTGCCAGACCGGACTGGGGTGATGAACTTCCGGTTTGTATTTTCTGTCAGACCCCATCAACTTCATCAAAGGCGCTGACAAACTACTTTGCAGATGTACCAATGCACGACAGCTTGAACCTGATGTCCTGTGCAATATGCTAAAGCAAGCTGACGATACCATTCACGGCATTCAGCAAGTCTTAGCAAAGTTCTAAGACCGTTTAAGGCACTCACCAAAGAGTGAAGCGATTGCATCGACCGACCGAAGTCCGTGCATAGTAATAGTAGTAAGTGTAGTAGTAATAGTAGTAATAGTAGTAGTAGTAGTAGTAGTAGTAGTAGTAGTAGTAGTAGTAGTAATAATAGTAATAATAGTAGTAATAAAAATCATAGTAGTAATAGCAGTATTTGTAGTAAAAGTAGTAATAGTCGTAATAGTCGTAATAGTCGTAATACTAGTAGTAGTAGTAGTAGTAGCAGCAGCAGTAGTAGTAGTAGTAGTGGTAATAGCAGTAATAGCAGCAATAGTAGTAATAGTAGTAATAGTAGCAGTAGTAGTAGTAGTAGTAGTAGTAGTAGTAGTAGTAGTAGTAGTAGTAGTAGTAGTAGTAAAGCGCCACGAGCGGTTCGTCCATGGCACTGCAGTCTGGCACTGCGCATCTCAGAGCCTGGATCCTAGAGGAGGTTGAAGACCTCCTGCAGGGGTCGAACGACGCTGCAGCCATCTGGGCGATAGACTTTCTCTCCGCACTGTGGAAACAATCGACGCTGCTGGAAATACTTCTGGATTCGGCTTTTGTTCTTCCACGACATTCGTTTGCTAGGCTGACGCTTTTTGCGGCGAGAAATTACCCAGTGGACCTCACATCTGCCATAGTCAGCTTTCTTCGACAACATGCAAATGCAGATATGGCAGGGTCTCTCGACCCATCCCCTGTGCAATAATGGCTCCCATCTTCTACAGCGAGACGACGATGCCATGCTTATGGGATGTGCAAGCTCGTCCCGGTCCCAATTCCGGGAGGGGGCGGATGATGAAGCAAAACAGTCGAGTGCTGCTTTGCCCCCTGGCGTGCGGGTTGACGGCACATCCTTCAGGCCGTCTGGAGCTGGTGTGGAGACACCAGTGAAGCGAAGGGACTCCAAAGTCGGCTTGATTCCAACCGCGAGCATTGAGATGAGTAGGGTCAAGAAAAGATCACTGAGACGCGCGGTGAGGCGTGCTCAACGCACTCCAGGTGGTGGCGCAACCTATCGTGGTCACAAGCTGATACATCGCCAGGCGTTTTCCCCTGCATCAGCTGCTCCAGTGGCTGCTGTTGCACAGACTATCCAGCGCATAGACATACTGTCGTGGAACTGCAGTGGATTGACGCAGCTTCTGTTCGAGGAGCTCAAGTTGTACCTCAGAAAGCATTCGGAAATCATGGTGGTTTGCATTCAGGAAACTCACAGGGCTTTTCAAAATGAGTGGGTTGCCGAGGGCTGGACGTTTATCCATAGTGCCTCCCCCAAAGCCCATCAGGGAGGAGTGCTTCTTGGATTCAGAAACGGGTCTTGTGATCGCGACTCATTGAGATGGCAAGAGTTGAGTCCGGGACGGCTGCTACATGCTCGCTGCTTCGCGAAGAATCAGCACATGGATTTTATATGCATCTATCAGCACGCACTCCCCTTTGAGGCGGAGGCCTTGCAGGCAACACTCGACAAAAGGAGGAAGCTGTGGACCCAACTTGACGCTCTGCTCAAAGCCATGCCGGTACGTTCATCGATTGTGATAGCTGGTGATCTCAACTCGAACCTGTGTACGTCCCCTCCATGCATTGGGCCCAGTGTTTTGCACAATCAGGCTAAACCTAAAGTGTTACAAGAGCGTCAGTGGCTAACTGGTATGCTTGCAGCGCATCAGTTAGTTGCCCTGAACACTTGGTCGCGCAAGCAGCCCACGCACCGACATCCGAGCGGAACATCTCAGATCGACTTTGTGCTAGTAAGGACCTCCCTTGCGGACCAGGAGGCTCGGAGGTGTCAACCCACAGACCCGCCGATGGCGGGGTGGCGATCCTCGGGTCATCAGATGCTTCGTGCCTCCATACCTCTTCGGTGGCAGCCGTGGAGGTTGAATCAGTGTCGCAGGCAGGGCAATTGCAAGTACCAGGAGGGAGTGGGTTCTGACATCTCACAATTGCGAGGATATGTTGGTCAGTTTGAACAGCAGCCCAGTCAAGGTGTTCAGAAACCAGGCATTGAGCGCATGGATGGTGAGATCATGAGTTTTTGGGAGGCGCGTAAACTTCTCGCTCGTCGGGAGGTCTTCACTCTTCGGGGCATGTTTGCCAGGGTTCGGATTCTACTGGCGCTACGAAGGCGGCATAAGGAATTGCAGGCGGTGGCGAGGGCACGCAAACGCCAGCAACTTCTGGCCACACTGGACCTTGCAGAGCAAGCCGCGAGCAAGGGCAGCAGTAGAGACCTGTATCAGTGCGTACGCTGGCTAGCTCCCAGGAACCTAAGGAGGTCCATCAGATTGCGATCCTCGGAGGGCGGCTTGATGCATCCTCGTGAAGAGTGCAAGCTCTTAGCTGAGTACGCCACAACGCTGTTTAAAGCCAAACGGGATTGTGACAAACTACAAGTGGCTCTTCAAGCGCTGGATCCGCAGATGTTTTCCCCTGCTGCCTGGATACGTGCACTCAAAAGCCTCAAGACTGGCAAAGCAGTCCCGGCCCAGGAGCCCTCCATTAAGTGTTGGCAAGATTGTCGCGCAGAGGTTGCTGTGCAGTTAAGTCACATTGCGACGAAGGCTCTATGCGGGGATCATCCTTCGGTTCCTGCCGACTGGACCGACATGCAGATGGCGTGGCTCGCGAAGGCCGGCAAATCACCTTCAACACCCGAGAACCTGCGGACGATCGGGCTTATGCCCGCGGACACAAAGGCATTCCTGATTGTGCTTAGGAATGAGGCGGCCCCATACATTACAGCAGCTTTGAAGCCGTTCCCCCAGTACGCTTACAGACCCGGGGCCTCCACTGCGGACGCCCTACTTAGGGCTTCTGCGCACTGCCATGAAGTTCGAGAGCTCCTGCACAGGCATCGTGGTGATCATACATCCAGAGTTCTGGGCACCGACGAGGTACCGCTGGTTGGGGGTCTAATGTGTGGGTTAGATCTTCAAAAAGCTTTCGATGCCCTCCCACACACTGAGATTCACCGAGCATTGCTGGATTCTGGTGTTCCAGGGGCTTTGGCGGGGGTTATTGCGCAGGTTCATGTCCAGACAAGGTGCAAGGTGCGGCACGGAGGGGAAGAGAGAATGCTGGTAATGACACGGGGTTTGCGGCAGGGCTGTCCCATCGCACCGATCGTGTATGCCGCATGGACTTGTCGGCTAGGACGGTTGATGGATCAGGCGTTAGGCGATGGCTGGTCACGGAAACATGGCACACTCTTTGCTGATGACATATTTACGCATTGGGTGCTACGCTCTCCGGATGACCTGAAGCATGCCATTCAAGCTCTTTGGACGTTGATTGACATTCTGCAAAGGCTTGGCATGGCAATCAGTTTTCAGAAAACAGTAGCAGTCCTCAAGCTGCGTGGTAGACTTGCCTCCAAGCTCTCGAAGTCACTACTTGTCTGGAAACAAGGTGCTCAGTATCTCCGTATTCGTTGCGATCATCAGGATGTGCACATACCCCTTCAAACCACCATCGAGTACTTGGGTGCTACCCTGTCATATGGGAATTTCGAGCAGCAGACTCTTCAAACTCGAGCGGCACAGACGACTCGGCGCTTTCAGGAGCTTCGGCGTGTTCTGCGCACCAATGGTGCTTTGACGCTTCGACATCGTCTTCGGCTTTACAAGGCAGTCATATGGCCCATCCTGACGTATGCACTTACCAGTGTTGGGGTCACGAATGAGGTGCTCAAAGGGGTCTGCTCGCTTATGTCTGGTCACTTGCGCAAGGTTCTCCGCATCTATGAGGAGGGCATCAGCAACCAGGCAGTGATGACCCGCGCCGGCATTGCTCCTCTGCTTTTCTTTCGTGGTCAGGTGGCATCTCGATGCGACAGCATAAGCAAGGATGCCGGTCGTGATGAGGCGCTGAAGGCTCTGGAGAAGCATCGTTCAATTGCTATTCTGCAGCACTTACAGGAGCTTGAGATCACGCCTGCCTCCACCACGTTGTGTAGAGTTGCTCGGAGTGAAATTGTGCCTGTAGACTGTCCGGTGTGTGGGATTGCTTTCCCTTCTCAGGCGAGCCTTCAAATGCACATCCAACATCAGCATGTTTCCGTAAACAGGCAGGCCCGACTTGAGTTCAGACGCGACCAACATGCACTTCACGGACTGCCAATCTGTAGATTCTGCCAGACGCGGCTGCATGACTGGCGCTCCCTTGAGAAGCACATCACTGAAGGTACGTGTCCCAGAGTCAAAACCTTTGTAGCTCAGAGCCTCTCGGAAGAGCGCATGCTGCAGCTCATTGCGGAGGAAGAGGAGCGATCACCTCCTGTACCACCGGCTGGTGCCCCCTCTGACGCTCAGGTCGTTGACGAGGTCGACACTGCTTTGCAGATGACGGTGACCGAGCTGCGCACTCATGGATCTCGGCTACGGGTGCTTGCCAGTAGATGTGCGCTTTGCAGGCAGCTCATACCGGACGGCTCGAAGATCAAGATACACTGGCAGCGAACCCATGCGACGGAATGGCAAGCAGTCTCGCAGAAAGCCATTGCCGAATCAAGGAGCCTGAGCGCGACTTTCACCACTCCGTGCAGCTACTGTGGTAGTACAGCGCGCAACAGCCTCGATCATTCCAGCAAGTGCTCTGCCCTCTTTCAGTTCTTGTCGGTTCTTCAGTTACGTCGGCAAGGTCACACAGAGGTTCGTCCCAGTCGTGGTGCCTCCCTTAAGCAATCTCAGTGCACTCCGGAGTACCAGAAGTTTGACGTTGTATGCACTCCCATCGGCAAGTTCTTTGCGGTGAAAGCTGCAGGTGCAGAGGCCATGTCCAAGGCCGGTACAGGTGCATCCCCACCATTGGCTGGCACTAAACCCCGAATGGAGCCCACGATAGGTCTACTACCGCGGGATCCGGCTCCGCGGCTCGATGAACATTGGCTGCAGCGTCTTGTACTCGGAAACCCATGCAACTATTGCTACATGAACGCATCGGTCATTGCACTGCTGCATGCCCTGCAGGATGGTGCCGATCATTGCCGAGCTCTAGGGAGTCTTGTCGTACTTTGTCAGGGTGCAGTTCGTGCAGGTAGGCCCCTCACGTTGTCCTCGCAATTGGTGATCCGGTCCTTGGTGCGTGACTGGACTTTCGATCGTAGGCAACATGATGCGGCGGAGTTTACGCACAAGCTCCTGCGTGGCCTTGGTCTCGGCGCTCATGTGTGGGACGCTAGATTCGAGGATCTTGAGGGCGTGCACACTCCACTTTCAGGAGGGAGCCCGATAACGATGTGCATACCGCACGAGGACTGTGACCTGCAGACTGTAGTCAACCAGTGGAGCCAGCAGGGGTTTGCCCATGCGTTGATACGACATGACATTGGTGTGGCCCTGCAACTTGCAAGGAACAGTGAAGCCGTCAAGAATGAGGCCAGGATCTCAATTGGTGCGCTTATCATGATGCCCTGCTTTGCTCGCCGGGCCGAGATCGTCTGGCGGGCTTTTCAGGTCCGCTCTATTGTGGAACATCATGGTCCCGCAGTCACGGAGGGCCACTATCGTGCGGTTCTCAAAACTTCGAATGGATGGGTCCATACGGATGACGGGCATGAAGCGGTCCCTGTATTTTGGAGTCGTGAACGTGAATCCTTGCTGTATCTCATCTGGCTGACACCGGCTCATTTGCATGGGTGTAGGCCGTTCCATAGCCTCTCGGACCGTAGCGATTGACGCATGCGTCAGTCGCCCATTCCAGCTTCAGGTCATTCGGCTTCAGTGTGGATGTGGGGTGACTCCGTGGATTCTCACATGGAAGGGTCGGAGGAGTGGTCGTTTTTCAGCCAGTACATGCCGGCTGGGGTGAAGCTCTCCTCGCCACCCTCGGATGTGTCTACTGCTGCTGATGAGCGTGAGCCGAAATCGGCACGCCTTGGTCTTGCCAAGGGTGGCACTCAGCAGGGCAAAGGTGCCAATGGCGGGAATCAGCACCGGGAGAAGTCTCGGGTTCACAGCAGGGAACCAAGCGCCAACCGCACGCGTGGTCCAGTAGCAGCTTTGTACCTGGCTGGAACACATGGAAGGCCGATGAGGATGAGAACAGCGAGGTCCACAAGGAAGTCAAGGCGATTCGGGAAGCCCTGGAGATGGTTCAGAAGCTGGTCCTTCGACACGAGGACGCGGTCAATCTGTTGAGGATGGAGTTTAGCTTTGTGGCCCATATGAAGCTGAATATCCCCGATGCTTTATGTGGCGGCTGACGGCTGGCGGAAATTGAAGGCCAATGAGCCTCAGAAGCTCGACAGGCCAATGAGGACCTCTTTGCTTGTGTGCTTCTTGGCCGAGCTGAAGTCCAGACTCGTGGCCCTTGAGCAGAACGAGGACGATCTCAACAGGCTTGCGGAGTTGGGATGGCTGGTACGGGGTTCGCCTCTGGTATGGCATTTCCTGAAGTGGGATCGGAACACCCAGTCCAATGTGGTGGATAAGATACGTCGAAGCCTCCTCTCTCCCAAGCGGAGGTGCTTGAACACTTGGCGATCCTTCTGAAGCATGTTGTCAACTCCAACAGCCTCACACGTTTTCATCCCACCAGACCGCTGTCGGAAGAAATGCGGGGTGATACACTGGTGTTCCTGGTTCAAGTGGGACTTCAGGGAGAGTCGGCCGAGTTCATGCGTAGTAGTCTGAAGGCGCTATGCTACAGCGCATCCCTGCAGCTGGTAGCCACGCAGCTCGGGGAAGATCGGCAGAGCCGCTCCAACCTCGCGAACATGGTCGCCGCTGCACTCCCAGGGGGCAACTGATTGGCATGGGATCGACATCATCGTGGCCACTGAGTTTTGCTTTTGCGCACTGCAATAGACGGTACGCCGCAACACCCGCTTGGCAGCTCGCTGCGGGGTCGGTGAATAGGCCATTATCTGAGGCCAGATTTTGAGCGCTTCCCGGAACTCTTCAGAGAAGTGGGGAAAAGGCAGCATGTTCCTTGATGTTGGATGCCATACCAATCTCGTTGGCCTGCCACCATTTGCGAGTTCCTGCTGGCTTCTGCTGACTTAGGCTGGGGCTCGCTTTTGGCAATGCTGGGGAGGTGCCGACTCTCAGTTCCGGTTAGTCCTTGATGCGATGGGCCATGCTCTCAGTGTTGCCTCACGCGCCCGGCTATCGCGCGGAGATTGCGCTTATCGGTGCTGGGACTTATGTCATGTGTCCGTGTCAGGGGTGCAGTCTGCTACGCAGCCGAATGGAGCGCACTCCACTAACACCCTCTTTTGCTGCAGAACCACGATGGGCTCCATTGTTTGCTACTTTTTTCGAGCGGTTTCTAGGGACCGACCTTAGGGCATTCAACGTCGGTGCTGACAGCATGGACCTTCCCTTCGGAGATGTGGGCGCGGACCCTAGTGAGTGTGCCACGTCGATAGAGGAAGAAGCTGCCAGCATTGAGGAAGAGCCTGTTGATTGGAATGCGCTAGCGGGGGGCACGTGGCAAACAGCTGATTGGACCGCTAGCAGTGTCGACGGTGTGTACATGGTCGGCGCATGCCCCATCAATTCGTATGAGACCGATCTGAAGTATGAATATGCGAGACAGCAGGTCTACCTCGTTCGGGGCATCGGGGTACGAGGATTGCATGTTCCCGAGCATGATAGTGCAGAGGTGATGGCTTTTGGGATGATCGCCAATGGACAGGCGAGTTGGACTCAGCTGCAGCGCCTTATGGCCTTGCTGCCTCCGGATCCAAAGGAGCGTTGGACCCCCGCCAAGGATTCCGACAAGCATGAGCTCAATCCAAAAAGGTTCACAGTTGGTGCGTGGAATCATGGCAATATGGCAGGGGTTAACAGACAGGCTCGCGCTTTCCCTTGGGTTACCAGATTGCTTGCAGGTATCGTGCGTACTTGGCATCCGTCCCTGAATTTCACTTCCTGCACGCTGTCCCTGAACTCCACGGCTCCCCTGCACAGGGACAGTCGGAACATGACCTCTCGCTGCCATGCTCATCTTTTCGAGGAGGCCAGCTTTTCGTGGAGGACGAGGAGGGCTTGACAGCACTCACCGAGCGCGGACCGGTAGGACATGTGCTATCGATGAACGAGGCCATCACGTTTTCTCCACATCGGCTTCATGCTACGATGCCATGGTCTGGCACGCGACTGTTGCTACTTGCTTACCACATAGGACAGTCTAGCCACTTGTCAGTCGAGGCAGAGCGCTTCCTATCAGATCATGGGTTTTGTGTGGCGCCGTTCCAGAAGTGACGGGTCAAGCAATCCTGTATGGACAGGTGGATTGCGTTGCAAAGAGCTGCCAAGGTCGTCCTGCGCTGGTTCTCGTATGCTTTGCACTCCTCGACTCGTTTCGGCAGCTGAGTTGCAATGCTGGAATGCCGAGGTCATGTTCATACGGGGAGACGGTGCCATGCCAGGGAATCCTATGCTTTCTGAGAGAGTCGGTGAGCCGGTGAGCCTTGATTCGTGCGATTGAAGCTTCGTAGTGTAACTGCGACATGCGGATCTAGCTGCTAGGATTGTACAGGTCCTAGCTGGCTTGATCTCTGGAACATTTGATTCCGCGATGACTCTTATGTGCATGTGGACTTTAACCCTACTTTGATTTTGATGCGATTGGCGACCGATAATGTGCCATTATCACTTGCAGAATAACTGGAAGTGTTGAAAGTATGATCGCTGAGCCTCGGCTCGGGTCGTTCAGCATGCTTGGGCCTTCGGGCCGATGCTGATGCTTTTAATTTTATTCTTTGTGGGTTGTCATAGACAATGCTGCCTCGGTAGCCAGGCGAAGCCTGCCGACTCGCTAGGCGAACCCCGGACGATCGCCGCGAATGGAAGGAAGGAAGGAAGGAAGTAGTAGTAGTAGTAGTAGTAGTAGTAGTAGTAGTAGTAGTAGTAGTAGTAGTAGTAGTAGTAGTAGTAGTAGTAGTAGTAGTAGTAGTAGGAGCAATAGTAGTAATAGTAGTACTAGTAGAAATAGTAGCCATAGTAGTAATAGTAGTAATAGGCGTAATAGTAGTAATAGTAGTAATAGTAGTAATAGTAGTAATAGTAGTAATAGTAGTAATAGTAGTAATAGTAGTAATAGTAGTAGTAGTAGTAGTAGTAGTAGTAGTAGTAGTAGTAGTAGTAGTAGTAGTAGTAGTAGTAGTAGTAGTAATAGTAGTAATAATAAAAATAATAATAGATATAGTAGAATTAGCATAGTAATAGTAGCAATAGTAGTAGTAGTAGTAGTAGTAGTAGTAGTAGTAGTAGTAGTAGTAGTAGTAGTAGTAGTAGTAGGAGGAGGAGGAGAAGGAGGAGGAGTAGTAGTAGTAGTAGTAGACCCAGAAGCACTAAACCCAGAACCCTTTGAAACCAGAAGCCCTAAACCGCAGTGCTAAACCCAGAAGCCCTGGAACCAAAAACCCCTAAACCCAGAAGCTCTGCACCCAGAAACTTTGAAACCCAAAAGCACTAAACCCAGAACCCTTTGAAACCAGAAGCCCTAAACCGCAGCGCTAAACCCAGAACCCCACTAAACCCAGAACCCTTTGAAACCAGAAGCCCTAAACCGCAGCGCTAAGTCCAGAACCCCTGGAACCAAAAACCCCTAAACCCAGAAGCCCTGAACCCAGAAACTTTGAAACCCAGAAACACTAAACCCAGAACCCTTTGAAACCAGAAGCCCTAAACCGCAGCGCTAAGCCCAGAACCCCTGGAACCAAAAACCCCTAAACCCAGAAGATCCCAGAAGCCCTGCACCCAGAAACTTTGAAACACAGAAGCACTAAACCCAGAACCCTTTGAAACCAGAAGCCCTAAACCACAGCGCTAAACCCAGAACCCCTGGAACCAAAAAACCCTAAACCCAGAAGCCCTGCACCCTGAAATTTTGAAACCCAGAGGCACTAAACCCAGAACCCTTTGAAACCAGAAGCCCTAAACCGCAGCGCTAAACTCAGAACCCCTGGAACCAAAAACCCCTGAACCCAGAAGCCCTGCACCCAGAAACTTTGAAACCCAAAAGCACTAAACCCAGAACCCTTTGAAACCAGAAGCCCTAAACCGCAGCGCTAAACCCAGAACCCCTGGAACCAAAAACCCCTAAACCCAGAAGCCCTGCACCCAGAAACTTTGAAACCCAAAAGCACTAAACCCAGAACCCTTTGAAACCAGAAGCCCTAAACCGCAGCGCTAAGCCCAGAAGCCCTGGAACCAAAAACCCCTAAACCCCGAAGCCCTGCACCCAGAAACTTTGAAACCCAGAAACACTAAACCCAGAACCCTTTGAAACCAGAAGCCCTAAACCGCAGCGCTAAGCCCAGAACCCCTGGAACCAAAAACCCCTAAACCCCGAAGCCCTGAACCCAGAAACTTTGAAACCCAGAAACACTAAACCCAGAACCCTTTGAAACCAGAAGGCGCTAAACTCAGAACCCCTGGAACCAAAAACCCCTAAACCCAGAAGATCCCAGAAGCCCTGCACCCAGAAAGTTTGAAACCCAGAAACACTAAACCCAGAACCCTTTGAAACCAGAAGCCCTAAACCGCAGCGCTAAACCCAGAACCCCTGGAACCAAAAACCCCTAAACCCAGAAGCCCTGCACCCAGAAACTTTGAAATCCAGAAGCACTAAACCCAAACCGCAGTGCTAAACCCAGAACCTCTGGAACCAAAAACCCCTGGTCCCGACACAAGCTGACGGGATTTCAAATACATCGATCTTGGCATTATTATATGCACTTCACTCTATGACTCTATGGTTCTACGCACTGGATTATATAACGTAGCGCAAAAGTCTTCGCTAATGATGCTTTCGGGCCAATTGTCTTCTAGTGTCTGGATTGTCGATGTAGGACTTGAGGTCCCCGAACGGATATTTCTGTCGAGCAGATTGAGTCAACACTTCATATTTTTCGAGCAGCTAAACCTCAAGTCAAATGCGAACAGTCCAAACTCAACACTAAACGATGCACCCCTTACTAAACCTATAAACAAAATCCTGCCCGAACGAATAACACTCTAGCGAGTGAATCAGGTACCTTCCAGCACTCTTCTGTTTCATGGTTTCGAATCTGAAGCCGGGCATACGGCAAACCTTGACCAACAAGAGGCCAATTTTGGGGGTGGCAACCCCAACCCACAGGGAGTGAGGCCAACAGGGACGCGGGAAGCCGAAGACGGACCGGTTTCGTTCCAGTCTTGCTCCTTCTCCCACGGTTGGCACCCGAAACCCAACGATTTGGTAAATGATCATAAGGCACGCCTTTGTCAGCCTTGTCACTATGGTTCATATTGTTCTAGATCCGACACTTGAATTCCAGCCTCCTCTCAGACATTACAATCACCTCTCGGACGTTTTCCAACCCGGTTTGTGGCCCCCTACACTCTAACACACCTCCGAAGGAACCCACCCATCTCCCTAGCAACCGCAACACACTCAGGGGCCGCGAAGGCTTGCACTCACCCGGCTGGCACGCGACTTGGGGAGGCAACGCAAGGGCTCAGGAGCAAAGCCAAGTCCAGGAGTGCATGGGGCAGCCAGTCCTTCTTCATCTGTTTCCGATGATGGCAGCAAAGTTGCAGGTGCAAGTGGTTCAAACGATCCTGGGTAACACCGAGCTCTACGTCTTCCGCCGGAGCGAGAAGTGAGAAGACCTGCTGAGCTGAGATCCATGGAAATGCCTCCTTGAGAGGAGCACGAGGAAGTCGGAGACAGGTGCTTTCAAAGGAACAGACCTAGAAGGAAACCACCCAACCCACCGGTACATGCGACCGCTAAGGGCCCCGGACTTTCAAACATGGGCCGTTCAAACTGCGCGGCTTTCGAGAATCTCATGCTGCATCAACAAGTAGCACTCCTAATGCTAATTAAAAGCATTCATGTTGCCTGAAGATCTCAGGAACATGTAGTGCTTCTGAAGCTTCGGATGGAAAGTACCATTCATACTGCTCATGACACTAACACTACTCGAAATCCTGACACTACGTACTGCCTACGGGTACGGCTAGATAATGCGCTGCTGTCGATTGTTGAACTGATTTTCAGTGCTGGCATGACACCACGCACCTTTGATATCCACCATAAGATGTTGTGCATTGGGTGAGAACAAGCAACCACTTAAGATACAGGTCCCGCTGAAAACAGCAAGCGTCGAAATAGAATGATTCAAGCAAGAACTGTGTGACATAACATGATGTGGCTGTAAACCTGCTGCTGTTTGTGAAAAACTGCCCCGAAGCAACACAAGCTCGTGACGCAAACACATTGCGTCCAGCTTTCCACGGAACAAGCAGCAAACTTCTGCTGCGCCATCCCTGTTAGGTCGTGGCATTATCCATGGTCGCAGCTTGTTATCCGCACTTCCTGAAACAAGCTTACAGATTTGTTAGCCCCAAGGTCACAGAGTGATACAGGCAGATGTCTAAATTTGCCAGATTTCCAGACTTGCTCATGCCTCCGGGCTGCAGTGGGATCTGACAAGCTAAAATGCAGATATCCGGAAAATCCAGCGAAGAACGCCCTAGGCGGAAGCCAAAGCAAAGGAAAAGAGCCCCAAGATTAGCCAGAAAAACCAAGAGAACAAAACCTCCAGAACTTCTAGGTGCCCCTGCCAGCATGCAAACATGTGCAGAAGGGTACACAGTGCACAACATGCGCCTGAAAAGCTGACTGTGATCAAGCCCCCAAGCCACTGCTCGAAGTGAGCATGGCTTTGGCCGCAGATGGTGTACCAAGAAGCAACATTACCTCACGAGCAAGGACCAGCAGCCTGCAACCACCGAAGCTCCTAGCTGCGCAGAGCCTGTCATGGATTGCTCAGGCGATACACGTACCCATCTTGCGTCGTCCTCCCAAGATCTTCATTCTGCGCCGTGCTGAAGCAAATGCAAATAAATCCCTGCAAGTTGTCGGTCCTTCGTGGATCCGTGGCAATCCAGGCTAAAATAGTCTTGTGGAAACCTCTCGCGGCAGATGTATCGCCTTTGGTCAAGCTGCATGATGCTTCGATGTCAGGTACATTTGACATGCCAAGCCCGACTGTGGCATCTGTGCTTACAGTCGCTGTTGCCTTTGTATTCGAATTTGTTCCTGGTGGTATTGATGACGGTGTCGAATTCAACGGCTGTTGGCATGGTTGCAGCTGCTGCTTTCATTCCTGTTGCTGTTGCTGGCTCGGTTGTTGTTCGTCAGCCTGCAGATGCTGCAGATATCACAAACGCGCCACCTCCCGAAAATAATTTACCCATCACAGATACAGTGAGGCGTGTCGTGGTACCGAGATGGCCCTAAGCCCCGGGCCCCCAGCCTCAGCCAAACTAAAGCGGGCACGCAGAAGATGCGATGCGCCCAAGCACAGGGCAAAATCCAACATGAGCGAAACGATCTTGAATACCCTAGCCGCCCTAGCCTAATATTGCGATCTGGCCTCACATAGCGTTACCCATAATTGCAGTGTGCACGCTGGAAGACTTGCAGGATGCCGTACGAACACACCCACTGCTCATACGCATAAAGGACATCCAGGCCACGCTAAAGACCACGAAGCTCCGTGAGTTCCCTCTGAGCTGCCGGCTTCCGCGCAAGACCAAGCAAATCGATGTCAGTGGCATCACACGGCCCGAATTCTTGATGAACTCCGGTAGAAACCTGACATAAATGCAGCAGGCGCGCGTCTTGATGCCGAGCAGGTCTCAGAGATCGGACCCCTGGCCGCCGTGGCCTGGTTTTCCGGCGAGAAAGCCAAACCAATCAAGATCAGAGCGAAAAAGTATCCAACGATGGCAAAGTGGACGGACCAGTGCCTTGATCACAAGACAAGCAGCCGCGGTACATACTTCATCGTTAATCCGCGAGCATTGGTCTGTTACGTCCGGTACCTGTATGTAGATGCGGAAACGGATGCTTACAACTTTTTCCATTGGCTCAACACGCAGCTCCGGGTTCGGAAGCATCGGGCCAGTACCGGGCCGAGGCATCCACAAATTCGAACTATGGACCGATGTATTCGGGAGAGCGGTCGGGCCCAAGTAGCGTCGGATACAGGACTCCACGAAATCTCTGCTAGGTGCACGGTCAAAGAAGTACAACGAAGCCGCCTGCGATGGAGTAACCCGAATGAGGGAAGTTCCCAGCCAAATTCAAAAGTTCAAAGACGAAAAATGTGCTTTGGTGTGCCTGGGACGGAGGACAGGAAGGACGAGGCGGGGAGGAAAGCAGTTCCCGAGGTATCGTAATCCCATCCACGGGACAAAGTCCAGGAGAAGTGGGGACGATCACTATTGAGGCCATCTGAAGGGAGGTTACGGTTACGAGATGCAGAAGAAGCCTTGCCAGTTGCCAGTGGAAATAAATTTCCAGAAGCTGGCAACACGGCAAAGACCCTTGGCACTGGAAAGGCCCTTCCAAGAGACGGAATTGGACTGGCTGTTGTCACCGGCTGCTAAAACCAAAATGGACCAGATGGTGCGCAGCCGGCATAAGGAGGGCCACACTCACGAGCTGGCCAAAAAGCTCCCAAGCCGCTTTAAACTTCCGCAGGACGTCTCCGCTAGAAACCAACAAAACAGGTCACCAAGTGCTTCAAAAGGAAAAGGTGGGTACGAAAACACACCGTGCGGCCAGACCGAAGGAAAACAAAGCCTCCAATGCCAGCATGACGGGAGTCTGCACAAGCATCGGCACACTCCTCACAGCTCAGGAGCGGTGCGAGCGGCAGCGAGAAAAAAGAGCTTCAGGCAAGAAGCCCATACTCGTAAGTCCAGAAGCGCACGAGACTCCTTGGAGAGTTTCCGGGCCGAATCAGGGCATACGAAAATATCCAAACTCGCGCTCGCCCGGAAAGTTGGCAGGAGCATCAGCCAGGGACTGAACTTCTCTGTTCCGGATCGAAACCAGAGAACAACCGCGCAGCTGGCGATCCAGAGCGTGCCGGCGGAGCGGAGGCGAGCCTTGGCCACGATCAACCGGAGCCAGGGTCAGGCGGAATGCCCAAAAAGGAGCAAATTAGAACCTTGCCAGTCAGCTTGCGGAGGAACAAATGCAACGGAGTCACGTGTAAAGCCGAGGCCTTCACCAGCTGAGCAGTCCAAGCACAGAAACCAGCCAGTCAAAACGAACGCCCAGATAGGCTTTGTGCCAGGACGCACAGGTACTGAAATTTAGGGTCAAACGCTGGAAAATGTTACTGTAGTTACCACTGCGAGAGAAACATAACAGGCCGCGGTAGGAAGGACGGATTTTAATTCGACGGCGGGCCCTGCTAACATCCAAAATGAGAGCAAACAAAGCCTCGAGCGACGGACGAGTTGAGATACATTTGCGGAGCTCAGTGATCGTAGGATTCGCAGATAGATTGGGCCGGACGCCGAATACGCTGCTGTCAGCCACAATCAACGGGTCGTGGTCAAGAACCTTGACTAATCCAAGTTTGCCATGGTGATATAGGTACTCAGCACCAACCGGAACTTCCTGGACCCAGCATTCAGAAATCTCGGCGGGCAGGAGTTTGTTGACCGTGGCAGATGGCCAGAGAGAGCAAAGCCCCAAGCGGAATCGCAGCGTTTCAAGTCCATTCGAGACGGAGGGAACAATGTCGGGCACGGTGGCATGGGTTCATCCACACCAACAGGGACACCCTCAACGAGGAAGTCCACGAAAGCCTTGCCCGAATCACCAGAGCAGGCGGGAAGGGCTCCCAACAGAAAATGCCGAGAGGCTGTCCAAGCCAAACCGCTAGACATGTCGGAAGCGGATGAGAAAGTTTCGCAAGTCCAGCAGAAGCAATCAAGGTCAGAATAAAGGCGGGGTTCTCGCACCATAGGCCAGGTGCGGAAAGTCACCCGCGGTAATCACATCTGCTTCACAGAGAAACAAAGGAATCAGCCCCAGATGGGACGGACCAGCATGCAGTGGAGCAGATATCGGCGCCATCCTCCTGCTTCCCCACGCAAGGAAGGGACCGGCACCAACCGGACGGAATAAGAAGGGTTCACAAAGTGCTTTGCGACGGCCGCACAAAGGTAACACGAAGTCTTGCGGGTGATGCAATACACATTGCATATCTCTTTGCCGGACAAATCCTCCACACCGCGGGAGCCTTTTTTTGAGCTTCTTAAGTGGGCGCTCAGGAGACCCATCCGGACAGTCGTGGCACCCAGCGCCGCGGGTCAACGGCTCGCGAACCGGTGGGGCGAGCATCGAGCGGGGGTCAGGAGTTTAGGCACGTCGATATCATCTGGCATGTGACAAGCCAGCGAGACTCCACTTCTCATCCCTCATGCGCACAGCTATGGCAGCTGTCAGCGGACAGGACTTGGTGCATAGACGGAGCGCATGGTAGCCGCAGTCACCCAGAAAGGCCAGCGCAGTGCCAGCAGGCCAAAGATAAAACCGGGCCACCACACAGCTACCCCCCAAGAATTATGCGGAAGAGCTGGAAGAAGGCTGACGGCGACTCTCATAAAAAAATTCTCAAGTCCAGCTCATAAAGTGACAAGGGACCCAGAGACAGGTAAGATTTTAAGAAATGGCATGTTCCCGGCGGCGGCGGCGCGTCGGGACGGTTGGACCCGAGATTCCAGGGTCGACATCGAGGAGACAGACGGGTTAACCAGGGCACACTACTGCCCCAGAAGCCACAGCAGGTGACACCAAAGCCAAGAACTGGCAAGAGGTCGTCCCATCGGCCGGAACGGCATAGGCCACGGACGCAACGCCACGGAGCCCCTTTAACATCATCCGTTCCAGCAGCTCATCCGGGGCGGACTAGCCGACGTGCCGCCTATACCCTGACACGCTTGATTCAAAATGGGCTGCAGGCAAGAGAGAGCACGGAAATGCTCCAGAGTACTGCAAAAGGGGCAGGCTAGAGTCTAGAGCAGACACTGCAGGTCCTCTTTTATCGGAATAGCTTCGGCCCCGGAGTGCCGGAGGCCGGTCGATCCTCAAAATGCAGGTTGAAAGCGGACGGACATGGCAAAGCAGCCGCGGAGCGGTCGGAGAATCACCTGCCGAATCTGCGGCAAGTTCGACACGCGTGTCTAGGATCAACATACTCGCCAATCGCAAATCTGCGGGTACTGGGGGAGCTGAAAAACGATCGTTTCGCGGGCAGGGAGGTGGGAGGCTGACGGCCTTACCAACCACCTGAAAAAGCGGAGAAGGACCAGCAGTTCCTCCGTCCCGGACAGCTCACCGGACATGGCAGGACAGCACGCGCAACTTGAGAGCCTCAGACCATCAAAGCTGTGTGACATGCTAAGCCTTCTACAAGCGAATAGAAACCGACATGAAGGAGACACGGAACCGAAGTTCTGTTGGGCTTTGGCGCGAGTCAGTCCACACAGCGGACTGAGGCACAGGTGTGCCCCACTCGGCGGAGAAGAGCACGGAGCGATGAAAACCATGGCTGCGAAGGGCCGGGCAGTTTCGGCTAATGAAACTGACACCACGGACCTCTCACAATCGGAGCCGTCCTCGGGCAGATCGGTATCCAGTCCCAGTCCGGCACAGGGGACGATAGCCGGAGCGGGTCCGGTTAATGATCTTTCTTGGAGGCGCAACATTGGACCTACATTGGACCGACATCATCCCGACTATAAACCCGGATGGAGCCTTCCATGAAGGACGGCCGGCGATGCCATTGGAGTTGTCGGAGGTGGTGTTGCGCAGCCAACGCTCCTCAAGCAGAGCGCGGAGCCAAGGCATAGCTCGGGAGCGGTGAAGCGGGGACGCAAAGACCAGAGAGCTCACATCAGCACTGAGGACGGGCAGAAGGAAGCAAACGACCCGGTTCGGAAAGCGACGCGGAGAATCACATTGAACCACGACATCCCACAAGCGACAGAAGCAGACGTGGAATGCGTTGCCCTGGCGGGCCCAAAGAGTGCCCACACCACATGGATAACAAGGTGTAAGCTTGAACACGCGCGTGGGAGACGCATCAAGGGGGACCGCAGCAGGAATCGCCCCCGCAAGGGAGTCAAAGCATGTCAGGAAGGAGGCCATTTAACCAAATGACAGCCCAGCAAATGTAGCACCTGCAAGTTGCTGCGCAAGAGTTGCTGGCGTCCAGCACTCGCGCAGTATTCTCCTTTGCTCCTCGGGGGAACCGAGGCTTCCGGGGAGGCTTGTTTGCACCGCGCTTCGAGGAGTCCGGCTGCTGTCCGGACGAAGTGGCTTGCCCCGACTCCTGCCGGCGCGACAGGATGGTGTCGGTTTCCTTCAAGAAGGCCAGTGCTGTTGTGGCCGACAAAAAGGCGAGAACGCCCTTAGGCGTGGATTGTGCGGAGCCCCTCTGTTCGTAAAGATCTGGCGCGGGGGCTCGGCAAAGAGCGAGAGGGTGTAGCCCACCTCGAATTTCCCGTGGCCGGCCGCAGCCTGCTCCGGGCAGAACATAATGAACGACCTGGGCCGCCTGACCTGTAACCTTGTTCTCCGATGGGACACCACCAAAAAAGAGCCAGCAGCAGAAGACGACGGGCTGGAACTGTTGACTTAACCGGGACAAGTCCAGGAAAGTTGTAAGCTCCAAATCAACCCTTCTGGCAGCAGAGTGCAATTCAACAGTTGCCAAACAAAGTTCGGAAAGGCGACGCCGGGAGCTCACCCCGGAGAAGCTGGGCCAAGGCAGGGACAGTAGAAGCTGCCGGGGCCGGCCGTGGGACGAGCGGAGCAGACATGTATACCTGTTAACGGCAAAGCTCAGAGCTGCCAGCGACTCATCAGCCTGCGTCGGTGACAGTGCGACAGAAGCAATTGTGATACAATGACCGCGCAGCGTAGCAAGGCAAAGAGTGCCGCACATCTTCTTGTCAGGCCGCGGAGCCGCGACGCGTGCGAGCCGCAACAAAACGAATGCAGAGCAACCAGGATGGAACTGATGAAGTCCCGAACCGGAGAGGGATGATAGCGGGCAGTTAGGAAATCATGCTTTTGGACTGGGGCGGACGGCGATGGCACGAAGCGGGCGGATCAGTATCCATCCTGGATACAATAGGCACACTTCGATGTCGAGCTGGGTCAAGTTGCACATTTGGCCTAGAATTGGCCCGTGACCACTTCCGACACGCGGGCGAGTTGGCTGACGGGCAGGTCGGCCAGCGCGGTAGATCGAGTCGTCGTCCTTGGTGCCTGGCTGGGGCCTTGGCGCGGCCGTACTGGTCGGATGACTTTGTTCGAGGAAAGCAGATCCGGACTTGGCCATCGGAGTCGGCACAAGCGGAGCGGTTCCTTCATCACCTGCAACGGCCGGATTGACAGCCGGATCCACCAAGCCCGCCAGTGATGGACCGAAGCAGATGCAAACCACCGAAACGGGCCATGGCAATTGATGAAAGAAGGCGACAAGCAAAAGACTGCCTGAGTCAGGAATGCTGCTGGAAGCAACAAGCGCACTCACAGAAAAAATGCTCATGGAAGCGGGCAACCGAGCCTCTCCATCCACGACCGGAGCTGAGCATAACAGAAACTCAGAAAAAGGGAGCTTAGGGTCCGGGCTCCAAACAACGGCGCGGAGCCAGAAGCCTGCCACTAATAGAAAAGCTGACAGAAGACGGCAGAGAACCTGAGCAGGCGTCCAGATGGAAGCGCTGCGGGCTCTCCTGCAGTACAAACGAACGGGCGCGATCGGAATGGGAACTAGATGTAGACCTCGCCGGTCGGCGGGCCCTTTGGCATCGGCGGCGGGAGGGGGCCTCGGGACGAGTCCGCAAGTCGAACGGCTGTGGAGACGACTTGCCGTTGCCATGCTCACGGAATAAACAGAACACGAGAACTCGAAGCACCGGGTACAGACTTATACTTGTACAGACCAACTAGACATGTTGTGAGCACAAAGGGTACGTGCAAAAACTTGTCTTTTTTCAAAATGTAAGCATGGCTGCTCTGGCGCGCACAGATGCAGCGTCGCCGATCTCTGTGGCCAGACCTCTCCGTGGAGCCAGTCACGGACGAGGCATCACAAGCGGATTCTTCTGTTGTCTTAGCCTTGAGCGCTGGCTTCCAAAGGCAGAGGGCCGAAAAGAAGAGAGCAGTGGAAAGGACGGTCTGCGGGCCGGGCATGCCGATCCTTCAGCATTCTGTGGCGAAGAAGCATCTGTGCGAGCTTCACCCGGCAGTTTTCCGCACTCGCCCTTCGCTTCGCTCCTGTCCCATCCCAGGACCGTAAAGACGTTCAGCACGACCAGCATCAGCGGTGTGGACCTTGGGCGTCTTCAACTGGAGGGACTCGCAAAGTCCAGTTCTCTGCGAAACTGAGCCGCCAAGAGTCCAACACGCCAGAGCCAAGCTCCGAAGCGGGCCCCAGCCAGCATCGGACCCCCAGCGCCTGCATCTTGTTGGGACCAGAGAAGCAGTAACCTGCCTGCAATGTGCATACTGTGCCAGGTGGCAGGAGCAGGGAGAAGCAGAACGTGAAGGTGAGGGTCCATGCCTGAGAATCAACTGTCCGACGGCAGTCTTCCAACTTTGTTCCAGTGTCCTGGGAAGGAGACTGGGCTTCTGGCCGTGCTTCCACCTGGAACGCCAAACCATCGCAGTGCAACTCCAGGATCTGTGTCATGCCAGGTCCACCTTGTCGTCCAGATGCTCCATCAACTAGCTGCAAGCCACCAGTCATCAAGCGAGAAAATGGAATTCAACATCACACGCACTGAAAAATCCTTCAAGCAGGCAGACAAGCGGATCCACGACATGCAGCAAGCACTACTACAAGACTGCCAGCTGTGAATGCTGTGAAAACTAATCTTTGCATGGTCGAGGGGCCACAGAAACTTCGCACCGCACATGTCGTAGGGTGCATAGAGAAGGGCTGCCAGAAGGCCTCCAACGAGGAAAAACGGCAGTCAAGAGAGCCTCCCGACAACTTAGCAAAGATGACCTGCAAGGCTCGCTTCTGCGATCGGACACTTCCGTCTATGACAAAAGACACGAGCGGCCGCCACCTCGGCACACGGGAAATCACGTTCAGCCGTGTTGGCATCTGAGTGAGAGGCGGAACATGGTGGACAGATGGACAATGCACGAGGACTGTCCATAGTGTCGAAAAACAGCTCATACAAAAGGTGTTCAAGCTTCCCAATCCAAGGCGCAGTAGGCCAGTACATGAATGCATTGTATACGCAAGGAATATAGAGTGGCATTCTTGGAGTCAGCATTAGAACAGCTTGTGCCTGAGAGTAACCCCGCACTTCCAGATTCCAGTCTCCTAACAGGCCTCATGGGTGAGGCAAGCTTCCTGCCAGAAATTGTCCACCACCGGCAACAGCATAAAAATATAATCGTTGACCGTACCCACAATGAATGTCGCCAACCAAATCCTGAGGAACCGTGCAGCAAACGAGACGCTGGAGCTCCATACGCAAAGATGTAAGGGGATGCAGCCACGCTGCAACTTCAGCCGACGAAACTCCGCGTCACGGGATTCGCAAATAGCGTGCAGGAACGAGAAAGCTGCCAGAATCAAGAACAGCACCTGAGCCGGAAACGTCGCCAAGAAAGTCAATGGCAATTACTTGGAGAGAAAGCTTTGCTGAAGACCTCGGCCACGACAAACGACGGATGATCCTGAAGCTGCTTCTCCAGCGAGCTGATTCGAAGCCACGGCCACCTGGAAGGATTTCTGCCAACCGCAAACCACACATAATGCAGCTTTTATGCCGTTAAGCAGCTTGTCGTATTCGCGGAAATGGTCGGCGACGATTAACCTCGATATGTGCAGACATCTGAAGACATGTATGAACATGCGGCTGCAAGTACGCACGTGTGGCAGCTATGGCGATCGAGGCTGCCACACCAGCTGGGACATTGTTAGGAACAGGGCGGAAAAAACAATGCATGCAGGCTGTTATGGATGCGCTACTGTCCTGGTGTGGGTACATGTCCTGTTGTTATACATTCTCCAAACTGAGCGGTCATCAACACTCCAAAGAATTAATGGGCCTGACCATTTGACTTTATGACTGCAAACAGCTGCGACAATGTTTCGAGCCTCAACCGTCGAAGAATACGTGCATAAGCAACACATAGCAAGACCTTTGGCGCACGTGCCTCGGGTGGCAAATCATACACAGACGGCTTGGCCTGAAGCGAGGTCGGCGACCAACAAATGGGCCAAAGCCACAATTTGGAAATGCGTGCGAGGAAGCCTTGCCAATATCGTCCTCGCAACTAGTTGCAGTTGCTGAGTGTTTGCATGCTTTTCCCAAACATAGGCTGCACGGACAACTGTCAACCCTAGATCCTTCACCAAGACTGCATTGCGCGACCTGTTGCAATAGGCCTGCACACGAAAACCGACGCAAGTGCACGCAGAAGCTCGAAACTTGACAAAGCTGCCTCCGACATGTCCAACCGACGTTGTCCGACGAGGGCCAACGACCGCCAGACCTACTGGTAAGAAACGTTCCTTTGAGCCAGGAAACCACAGGTCACAACATGCATCACAGTCTCGGCAGCACTTCCATCTAGCTTTGCTAAACACCCAGTTTGAGCAGTTCGAACCGAAGTCTGACGACAACACCACTGACGCGGGATCGTAGCCCGGTATGTCGCTGCATTGTGTACGCCCAAGAGTTGCGACTGACTTCGTTGTCCAAATGGCGAGGTTCAAAGCCGTAACGTCTGAATCCACGTAGTGATCTGCGATGTGTACGACACTACACAACTTTCCCTGGTCGTACCGGCCAATTTGCCAACAGTTGACAGACCCGCATAATGTAAGGTTCGAATCCGTCGTTTGTCTGTAAAGCTGCAAAAAAAAACGGCAGAAGGTGCATTCGGTTACAGCACCCCATAAACACCACCAACTTGGTTTTTGCGCCCCAGTTACCGTGGCTTGGTCGCTTGGTTTTCCCGGCCCTATTTGCTGCACTTTGGCCGATTCTATCGGAGCTGCCACTTAGTCACCGTAGAGAACTGGTCCATTGGCCCAAGCAAGAGGCCACGCAGTCGTCGATGCGAGGGGTTCCGCCAAGGAGAATGAATAGTCAATGGGCTTGTTGCACACCTCCGCCCCGCCGCAGAACTTGCCGACAGCTGCGACGTAGTCGCTGCTGACAACGCCCTCTGCGCGGCGAGGCCGGTGATTGTCATCATGGCAAGGCGGCTGTTGTTCAGCTCTTGGCAGTGGACCCGCTTCCATCCGTTCCAGAACTCGGAAGGGTAACCCTCGTCGATGGTTCCCTTCCGTCCGAGCACGTGTCAAGGACGATCCTCATGAGCCACTCCAGGAGCATGATCGTGAGGATCACCTCCCTCATGCCTCCCACGGGGGGCTGGGTCAAGCTGACGAGGGGGTCGTTGCTCATCCTCTTGCCGATGGCACATAGTCACCCAACAAATGGTATTCTGCAGCCACGTGGAACCAGTGAGCACTGCGAGTATCGCCACGCGACCGTGCTTCAGCATTACGGCCCGGAACATTGCGATCTCCTTCTCGGTCTTGCCATTGGTGATCCCTGCCGGATCCCAGAAGTTGTCAGGGAGAGGGCCGCCGCCGGTCCCGGCGATGATCTCGTGTGCCGGCGTCAAAGCACGCAGCAGGGAATCAGTGTAAAGAGATCCGTCACCCCATGCCTATCCAATCAGTCCGCTTTGGAAGAACATGCCAACTTGCCAACGAAAGCCATAATTGCCGAGCATTGCCAAGCTCATGCGGCTGTTTCCAGAAATCAATGCAACAGTATAGCGCGGTCAAAATGTTCTCAGCAAGGGCAGCGGGAGCGGGGTCAACTTGGCAGAACTCCACGCTCAAAGACGAAAGTAATCAGAAGCTCGCACTCATGATTTTCCTCCGATGGAACTGCTTCCTGGTGACATGCTCGACGCTGGAATTGCACATCAGCAGAGAGCGGAGAAAGAAAAGGCCCTCCGGCCTCCACTCGGGAGGGATGGGTGGGTTCTTGAGCCCTGTTCAAATAATTCGCGACTCGCTTCTACCTTCCAGAAGCTCGCACTCATGATTTTCCTCCGATGGAACTGCTTCGTGGTGACATGCTCGACACTGGAATTGCACATCAGCAGAGCGGAGAAAGAAAAGGCCCGAAAGCCCCCAGAAAATTCAGTCACCAGGTATAAGCTGTTCCAGAGTTAATGCCAAGCACCTCAGAGAGCCATTGCGAAAAGGCTGCGGTCAACGGGCCCCTATTACGCTTGAACCGGTCGGCCAGAAGGGAGGAGACCAGGAGCACGGCTTTATGTTTCCAGACACAAACCGTGCTCAAAGTTTCTCGCGCAGACATAAAATCACTTGCAATCGTATTTATGGCAAGCGTGATAATAGTCACAATCGCAATCTGTGAGATCCAGAAGTCGCTCTTCTTTTTTCTTCACACAAAAACTTGGTTGCGAGAAGGGGAAACCTTCGTCGAGCCTCCCGGCCGCCTCAAACGGCCGGGTTAGGCGCAGAGACGGCTCCACGGTGCCCAAAGCACCATGCGAGCGCAACCCCACGACCTTCAAGAGGTCCAAAAGGGGCGGGAGGGCGGGCAAAAACTTCCACCAGCAACGAGCCAGTGCTTCAGCGGCTCACAAATCAGAGGCAACTGCAAGCACGACTCTTACACATGTACTGTAAAATAAACGACATGTGAGAAAAGCGTGAAGTAGAAAAAGAGAAACTTTCGTAAGCACTATTTCAAAACCAAAAGGTTCTTGAAATTTTGTGTTTGGAAAAATAAGGTGATTGTCACCTCCGGTGAAATAGCACTTACGTTTCCAAACACAAACCGTGCTCAAAGTTTCTCGCGCAGATATAAAATCACTTGCAATCGTATTTATGGCAAGCGTGATAATAGTCACAATCGCAATCTGTGAGATCCAGAAGTCGCTCTTCTTTTTTCTTCACACAAAAGCTTGGTTGCGAGAAGGGAAACCTTCGTCGAGCCTCCCGGCCGCCTCACCCCGCTTCCAAAACGAGGCTCGCGACCCAGCTTTCGTCAAGCAGAACTCTCGCAGCACCGAGCTTGTGAAGTCGTTCAAAGTAAAAGCGACTTGGATCATCAGCGATGTTGGAATGCGAAGGAACACGAGCGTACCAAGCGTGTTGGCCTAGCTCACATTCAAGTGCACTAGCTTTGGAAATGATAAGGTCCGCGATGGCAGTGCCACCCGCCCCCTTAATCATCCCGATTCGTGCAGGCTCGTTGTCAAGATAGTAAACTGTTTGCTGGTGAGAGGAGAGTCTCCCCCAAACCTGCATGGCGATAAGCACTGGCAGCAGCTCAAGCTCATAGATGGGATGAGTGGACGACGCGAGCAAATGATGCATCGCCTCACGACTCACTTCTCCCGCGAAATAAGAAACGCACCTGCCGTGAGGAGAGATCAGAACCCCTCCAAAAGAGCCTCGACCTTGCTCGAAAGCGCCGTCAGTGAAGACATAAGTGGTCTGCAGTGCCTTCGCCGATATAGTCACTGGCAGGGCATGACAGATTCGAGTTTTAATCATACCCAAAGCCCACTTGACATCAGCAGATAACTTCACAGAGCCACTCGAGCCTTGAGCGTGGCGGCCCACATGCTTGACAGCCACTTGAGCGACTCTACCGAAAGTGAATCCTTCAAAGAAGACGAGTCGTCCCCTCAGCTTCTCTGCTTCCTTCGAAGTCATGCTGCAATCAGCGAGAATGGAATCGATGCAAGCGGTCAGCTCCTCTTTCCGAGCGTCGGTGTGTCCGATAACAATCGAGCCAGACTGAGCTTGCTGCAGATCCACCTGAACTCCAAGTGCCGCGAAACAGCTCGCAAACTGTGGAGCTTTCTTGCCCTCGGTAGCATAGTCAAGCCCGATGAGCCTGAACATGCGGTCTACGCACGAGCTCGTATTCTCAAGAAGTGGCTCACTGGTGACAGTCGGAAAGTCATCGTAGTAAGCAGACCAGCACAGCTCCAGTCCCACCAGGCCGAGAGTCCAGATAGCCATAGACAGCCTGAGGAAGCCAGCAACTGAACCCACTGCACCGAACGGAAGACTGTTGGCACCAAGGAGGATGGGCTGTTCCGCCCCAGGCTTGTTGACGACAATCCTCAAGAGTTCCCGAGCAACAGAGCTTATGCCGAACTGACGATAGGCCGCCTGAAGATCGTATGTGCGGCCTAGCCAGCCACAAGTGGCCTTGCCGCCGCCGCAAAGCTCCAGAGCGCGCCGCAACATAGATGCAAGAATATCTATAGAATGGACTCGCATCTTCTCCGGAAGACCAACAGTGCAGTTAAGACCCCCAACACTGCAGTCGTCGATCGTGCGGAGTTTGAGTTTCTGAAGAAGGCCGAACCGGTGCGCAATGATCTTCCCTTCCCAGCAGCCAGACTCATCAATCCAGAACCACCCTTTAGCAATCTCCTCCTCTGTCTCAAGCCAAGTCTTTTGCTCGACGTCCTGATCCTGCCTCTTGGAGAGGCGCCTTTTGACCAGAGCGTGAAAGCCCCTGTTCATAGCGACGACAGTATCAACAGACATTGTGGGCGCCCTCGGGTTGCTTGCGAAGACCTGTGACTCAGCCATCCACCCAGTGAGAGGCAGGCCCTGCTCAACCTCGTCGAGAATCTTGACATCGGGGTAGCCTATCTCGCTCAGGAGCTCTTTCCACAAGAGGATGCGCTTGCCCTTGAGCAGCGTCTGTATGTGGTGTGGCCTTCGGTTGTTCGCCTCCGCTTCGAGAGGATCCAGTACACTAGCCCGTTTCTCCCAGCGTTCGAGAGTGCTTAGCCGCCGCTGGATGACTAATTCAGGAGGGTCGCAGAAGTTGGCCCTGATCGCCCGGTCCACAGCTGGGCACACGTGCATGCCCATGTCCATTGGGTGCCCTGCTTCCACCGCTTGTCGTATGAACTCCTCGGGATCGCTCGGAACTCCAACAAAGACAGTTTCGGCAGAGGAAAGGTTCACTCCAGCAGCATCGTGTACATGATCCCCAGCAGCGCCGACGTCAAGCACAAATCCAAGCTCGGTGCATCTCCTCTGATCTGCGCAACTCATAGATGTCGCGCCCTGAACATGAAAAGCAACAAGAAGAATCCGATCGCCCGACCAGTCGTCAGTAGAGTGCACCAGCGACGCATCAAGCTTGGCCGGGCGCTGCGACACTTCAAGCACAAGCTCCTGCTCCTGTGGATCCGCCGGGCGAACTCTGACGGCCCCTGCTTTAAAGTCAGAGCAAGGGATCAGCAGGTTGGGTACACCGGGAGTGTTATTGACATCGCGGTGGGGGCATGTCTTAAGGTTCCTAAACAACCCAACCGAAGAAAAGGAACTCCTAGGGAAAACCGCCTTAACAACAGCTGCAAGCAAAGCAGTGGTCCTCGGATATGCCACAGTGTTGGACCTGAGGCCGGCTTGGCCGGAGAAGTGAAAGGCCCCTGAGGTCCATGTCTTAGTGGAATCGAGGCAATCGCCTCTGCTCTTTGCAAATTTTCGATCAGTGGGCAATACGTCAAGCAGCATGCTCAGCTCAGACTTCGTGATGAAGCCTTTCTGGAAACACCGCTCGCTCAGGCACTCAGCTTTACAACCTTTGTGAAGAGGTGCATTGTCAGCAAATGGGCTACGGCCGAAACAGGCAAGCGAGACATCCTGAATGTCAAAAGAGCCCTGCCTAAGCTGGGATGTGAGATCCACTGTATCGAGATAGCCGCCAACATGGGAGACTTCGCAGGCATTTGTTCCCCCACTCAGAAAACGCGAAGTGACCTTGGAACCCTTGGGAAGGCGTCGCATGAAGCGCAGCAAGGCACCTGTCTCAGGATACGTCAGCACTTTGAGGTAGCGACCGAACTCGGGCACAAGCGGCTTAAGAACCTTCCCGCGAGGAAGAGCGCCGAGCACAAGGCGAGATGCCTGGGTACATGGATCCTGCAGCTGAGAGCGTAAGCTAACATGTAACCGAGCTCCTTGCGCAGAGGCAAACAGCAACAAGCAGGAGACAGCCCTTTCGAGAAAGAGAGGAGGCAGCGAGACATCCTGGCGACTCTTGCGACGCAACTCTCCATCAGCAACCTTAGGGAGCCAAGCATCATGAAAATGACATCCATCGCACTCAAGCTGCAAGGATTGCATAATGTTATGAGACGAAAGAACAGCGGTTCTTTTAGGAAGAGAGCCGCCATGCATACATGCGTCGAAGCAAAAACGGAAAGCAAGGCAATCAGTGGCTTGCTTGATCACAGGTGCACTCCAAAGATGACTGTGGGCAGGGTTACACACGAAGCATGGAATCCCATGCTCAGAGGCCCAGCGAGCAAGCCTAACAGTGGCCTCGATGGCCTGGTTGGCCAATTCAGTGCGACGTTTGAGGCCAAACGCCAAACCCGGAAGCCCCATCGGATGATTGGCAGACCTAAGCTGTTTCGGCCCACCTGAGTGCAGCGCCTTGAGACGCCGATCCCGAGCGCGAGAAGTGGTGCTGGCATCCGGCACAATCCACAAGCAGAGTATTCGTTCTCGCACAGAATGCAAAAGTCGAAGGAAGTCTACGATCTGTGCTTCATCAGCAAGGTCAAGAGGGCAAGAATGCACACCTGAGGCCTTGCTAGCACGCGAGCCAACAGGCAAAATGCCTAAAGAATGTTTGCGAGCGACACCACAAAGCTGTGCTCCGTGTTCTGAAATTTCAACAACGAGAAGATCCGTTAAGCAAAATGGTTCAAAAAGACGCAAATTCGAGGCCTTCCGACAGGGGGCCTCCCATGCAGCTCCAACTTCTGAGGCATGAACGACTTCGGGCTCTAGTCATTCCTTCGAACGACAAGAAGTCAAGCCGTGGTTAGCACGAAAGCATTTGCAACACACATGCAAGCCTTTGTTACATCCGGGGAGACCTGGAACAGCGTTGTTGTTGACATCTCGATTGCAGCCCTCGGAACAGTTGAAAGCCCAGCAAATCGGCTTGCCAGACGAATGCTTGCAAGAAAAATTCTTAAGCGAAGCGGGCTTGCTAGCTTTCTTAGGCTGCGGTTTGGCCTTCTTCTTGGGGCGAACAACCGGCTTCGAAGGGGCTGCACCACCCAGCTCAACCTGCAATGCACCTGTCGAAGGACGAGACATGTCAGCTTTCGAACTGGATCCAGAACCTCGCAGCGGCAGCAAAAACTGAGCGATCCGAGGATGTGTAGTGAGGCGTTCGAACACCGCATCACATGGTGAGACACCCAAGGTATTGACCTTATAAGGCCCAGGGAAGTCCCGGGCCAATAAGGTCCACAGCTCCCGATCGGCTCTTACAACCTGAGCAGCGCCAATGGCTGAATAGCCCGGGGGAGGCGCTTCGCACATGGCCTCCATGAGTGTTGTGACCCATTTCTGGTGAATGTCCCATGACAACAACCGACATTGATCAAAGGCGACCCCGCGCCTCATGAGCGCCCACTGCAAGCGAAGTTCAGTGCTAGTATCAGCTTTGGCAGGCTCATGCGGCACAACAACAAGAGACTGTTTCTCAAGCGATATAGCCGATTTGGCCTCGACCTTCGAGACAGACTGAATCTCAGCATCACGCTTAGAGCACTTGCTGGGTGATATCCAAGTCATGACCGAAGTTTCATAGATTGTGTTCGCCATGTCGCACAGTGCATGGCTGGGGCACAACTCACCAGTCAGATCTAAACCCCTCAGACGCCTTTGTTGAGCTGACAACCGGGCCCGGCGCTCAGCCGGAGGAATTCGCTTGATGCTCTGTGCACCCTCAGGGCCCTCGGTCCCTGTGACATGCTCCTTAAGTACCGCAACACAAAAGCAGTGGCTTCGAAGTGCAAAGTGCGAAGATCTGCGACCTGAGACAGCGACGGCGCACCAACAAACACTTCTGAAGCAAAACCCTGAAAATCAGCTTCACTCGGTGCAGTCTGCGGAGTGCCGATGGCGAAGGCGAGTTTGCGGAAAGATTTGATGTTCTTTGCCTCAAGAAGGGTCCGGAGACCAGGCGCGATTTCATCGCACCGCTGGAAAAAGGCAGCTTCAGACTCGACCAGCGACATGATGCGGGTATATCGCTTCACTCTACTCGAGCCCAGGAGCTGAGAAACCAGCGCTCGCTCGAGCATTCTTGCAGTCGCTATCCGTGCACTCCAGGTCCATCAATTCTTTTCCAAGCAGCCCGCCCAATACGCCTGTGCGCGACATTGGCAGCGCCAGAAGACTCGAACCGGTGGCAGCCGCACTCCCAAGGTCCGGATCCCGACGTGGGGCCCACCCTCGGGCCCAGCAGCATTGCCAAGAAAAACTCACCACAGCTTGCGTTTGGCCTGGACATCAGATCCGCAGGGCAACTCCTGTCCATCGCATCAATCACCTCCTGTGCGAGCCTCCTCTCCAGTTGTCCTTCGACACTGAGAGCAGACCGAGGTGTCGAAACGTACAGTCGTGGGCCTGATGTGCAAAGGTCCGACCATACGACCACATTCGAGCACTCGCTCGTTGCCCTCCTTAATGAGATGCAACATGCGAGTCTTTTTATGCTGGAGAAAACGATAACCTTCAGGAGCACATGGGAACTGTCAGCTTACGAACTCGAGGCACTTCCAAATCCGAAGATTCGCTACCGGAGCTGTCTGTGGTGACATGCTCGGAATCCGCAGCTCGCTCGGTAGCAGCTGCCTCCTGTTCGTCTTCTGATCCCAAGATTTCAACAGTTCCATCCCCTAGATCGCCGGTGAGCTCAGCCTTGACAGCCTCTGGCCCAACGCTAGCGCGAGAATCACCCGTCTCAGGCCGATTCTCTCCTGCGAGAGGTGCATGCTCTAGAATCTCACGTGCTGGACCCCTGAGACGCCCAGACCGCGTGCTGTCAGGGAGGTAAAAACCACTCCTGATTTCCTCAAGCATCACTTCTAGCAGTCGCAAGCTCCTTGCAGCACCATCCCGAGAGTACACAAGTGCCATGCGACCCGGCACTGAATGGTACCCCATCTGGAGCCTGTCTTCAATAGAATACCCACGCTTAGCAGCCATAGAAAGCAGCGTTGCCTTGAAAGAGTGGCTTGTGATCCTGTTGGGGCAGCCTTCAGCAGGTTCACAATCCAGGAGGCGACGAACCCACTTCCCAGCCTCCGAAGATGAAAGCGGTCTGCTGAGAGGTTTTCCCTCTTGATCCGGAGCAGGCATTAGACAGTGACCTGGCGGATTGTCTATGCCCAGCTGCTTCCGGACTCGCATCCAAGTGGAGACCCACTCTTTGTCAGCGACGCCCAAGGCAATGGACACCATTGGTAAAAACTGGAAACGGTGCTGAGATGAATGCATCGTCTTATGACTCGCCACTGTAATTTCCAAGTATGCGATGTTTCCTAGGGTGTCATAATCCAGGGCCCACCTGCACACATGCTGTGCGTCGCCCCACCTACTGCGGGCGTAGGCCACACAAAGTGTGGCACCACAGAACAATCTGTTCCACGGGTCCTCGTCTTCGCTGTCAAGCCTCCTGTGGAGCTCCAACAGTTGCTGGACCGTAAGCGGTTGGGCCTGCTTCCTGTCCCTGGGCTCATCCGATTTAGTGGCGCCCAAACAACGACGGCTAGCAGTAGCAAGCTCAAGCCCTGCCACACCGAGCACGAACCTCGAAAAGACAATGGCTTCGTGAAAGCCTTTCAGCCTGGATGCAGGAGCTCCTAGGGCCCTTTCCGCTCGAAGGAATTCGTAGAAAAGCTTCTCACTGATAGGATAGGCTGGCGCGCCTTTCTCCTGCAACCAATTGGCAACTTTCGCCAAAGCCCGGGCCCTCTTGAGCAGCGTCGATGGTGCACGACCACGGAAGAAGTCTTCCAGCAGTCCAATCTGCCCTTGCACAGATTCTTCCTCGCACAGCATCTGCCTCACCTCGCAGTCGACATCCCAACGAAGAATCGTGTGGAGCCACAGCTTAACGGATCTGTCGAAATCAAGAGTCCTCTGCTCTTCCCAAGAGACATCCAAAGACTGCGACACAACAGCCATGAAGACTCTGTCTTGCCGAGGCTTCGAAGAAAGTGAAAATAAACCCGAAGAAGCAGGCACTAAGGACTCCTCTGGTTGGCCACTAGTCGGCTGCACAGGTCTGTTGAAAGCAGGTGTCACCTGCTGCAACCAGTCACCGGAAGCAGCAGCACCAAACAGCGCACTCCAGACTCCTGATTCCCATGGAAGTGACAGTGTAGCCTTCGCCGGAACCGCATGAAAAGCAGCCGACAGAGCAGTCTGATACCCTTCAGCAGTAACCCGAGGCGAGGCTGCAGGTACTGAAGGATGCAGTTCAACAAGACGCCACTGGGATTGCTTATGATGGCTCTCAACATCGGATGACGGGAAGTCCTCGGCAACTTGCTGGTACCATTGCACCTCAGCACTGGCATCGTCCTCAGAAGCAGCAGCCTCAACTCCAGGTTGAGAAGCATCTTCAGACACTGCCTGGAAGCCCCCGCCCGAGTCCAGCAGAAGCCAAGGGTCGGGAGTCCGCCTTTCAGCCTCATCACAATCCTGATTGGCATGACTAAGCTTGTGTTGCCCGGCCCCGGCTTTAAATGATTACCCTAATAAGAATATTCAAAAAGCGGAAACGATGCAGCAACCTATCCGATCCAAAAAGCAGAAAATAAGCAGAACACGAAGTAACTTTACCAGCATAATAGCTGAATATTGCAGTTTACCACACGAAATGCAGAAATAAAGCACCTTGCCAATCTAACACAAAGTGGAGCCGCTACACTGTCCTCGAAAATCAAGAATTGAAAATTGCACTTCCCCACACAAAATGCAGAAATAAAGCAACTTGCCAATCTAGCACAAAGGTGGTATATTGCAATCTCCCCGAATATAACAGTAGTAATAATAGAACAGAAGAAAGTTGCATTTCCCCACACGAAATGCAGAAATCAAACCACTTGCCAATGTAGCACAAAGGTGGAATATTGCACTTTCGTCGAATATAAGAATATAAGACTGAACAGTAGAAAGTTGCATTTTCCCACACGAAATGCAGAAATAAAGCCACTTGCCAGTGTAGCACAGAAGTGAAAGACAACAATAGCACAAAGGTGCGATATTGCGTTGTCTTGCCATTACAATAGTCAAGAGTTGAGAGTTGTATTCCCCCATGCAAAACGCATGGAAAATCAGTGAAAACCTATGGCGCATGACTTCATACTCCGTGCATGAAATCACCAATCACCAATCCTCCACGTCATGTCCGAAATATTGGCAAGGTGTCCCATGCACAAGTCGTAGAATCGTAGAATCACCGTAGAGTCGTAGAGTGGACGACAAAGCATACCGCCACATTGAATCTGACATAGAAGGTGAAAGCAGTTCAAATCATCCTCTTTCGATTTGTGAAGGACATTGAGACGTGGCAAAATCAATCTGGCCCTCTTGGGTTGGAGCGCATTCTTTTGCGCAAAGATGATGCTGTCTTCCGACAAGGCATCAGCAAGATGATTCAGGACTGGCCTACCTGTGCTTTTATTTCTTGTCCAGTGAAGTTGTTCGGTAGCCAGTAACCGCTTGCCGATAATGCCCCAAATCCGGTAGTCCCCATGATCATCTTAAAGCAACTGTTCGCCCGACAAATTGACAACATGTTCGATGCTGGGGTGCGGGAGATACAGGGAGGGGAAATCGAGGAGTGTGGGGCTAGTCGGCTGGTTACGGCTAGCCGTGGGTCAAGGCTTGGAAGAGGTTGCTTTTTCGTGGCGGCTTCAATTGGCAGCTGCTTTTTTTCTGCTTTTTCACAGGTGCTGCTTGGGGGACTGTCTCGGCGCCTCCTTTATTTCTGTTTTTTTCTGCTTTTTTGGGGACTGGTCCTGGGCCCTCAAAATCTGCATTTTCCTAGGCAAAGTGCAGAAAATAAGCGGAAAATAAGCGGAAATAAACCAGCCCGTGGCACCTCCCCAAACCGTGGGCCAGGAGCCGGGAGCCGGGGGCCGGGTTTCGCGCCGTTTCGGGTTTGGGGGTCTGTTGTGGGCCGCTTGCCGCGGCCTGGCGCCGGAGCTGGGGCCGTTTTCCCCGGGCTGGGGGCGGAACAATTGGGGCCGGGTCCCGGGACGGGCCTGCCTGGGAAAGTTGTGGCGGATCGAGTCAAATTTAGCGTTTAATTTCGGGTTGGTGGCAGCGGTTCGGAATTTTAGGGTTTAGCTTCTGCCCAAACCCGGGCCAAGTCACGTTTAGGGTTTATGTTTGCGTTGGTGGCCGCAGCTGGGAATTTCAGGGTTTAGCTTTTGCCCAACTCGGGGCAAATCCGGTTTAAGGTTTGTTTTTTGGTTGGTGGCAACAGCTGGGAATTTTAGGGTTTAGCTTTTACCAAAGCCATGGCAAGTACGGTTTAGGGTGTGCGGGGAATTGCAACATTCTACTATTGTTATATTGGAGGGGAGTGCAATTTTCCACCTCTGGGCTGGATTGGCAAATTGTTGAATTTCTGCATTTCGTGTGGGAAAATGCAACTTTCAACTAACTATTGATGCTGGAGCAGAGTGCAATACTCCACCCTCGTGCTAAATTGGAAAGTTGCTTTATGTCTGCATTTCGTGTGGGAAAATGCAATATTCAACTATTGAAACTATTGATGTTATAGGAAGGTGCAATACTCCACCTTTGTGCCATATTGGCAACTTGCTTCATTTCGGCATTTCGTATGGGAAAATGCAATATTCAGCTATTGAAACTGTTGATGTTATAGGAAGGTGCAATACTCCACCTTTGTGCCACATTGGCAACTTGCTTTATTTCTGCATTTCGTATGGGAAAATGCAATATTCAGCTATTGAAACTAGGAAGGTGCAATACTCCACCTTTGTGCCACATTGGCAACTTGCATTTCTGCATTTCGTATGGGAAAATGCAATATTCAGCTATTGAAACTGTTGATGTTATAGGAAGGTGCAATACTCCACCTTTGTGCCACATTGGCAACTTGCTTTATTTCTGCATTTCGTATGGGAAAATGCAATATTCAGCTATTGAAACTGTTGATGTTATAGGAAGGTGCAATACTCCACCTTTGTGCCACATTGGCAACTTGCTCTATTTCTGCATTTCGTATGGGAAAATGCAATATTCAACCAGTATACTTGTCAGATTGCTGAATTTTTCTGCTTTTTGGATCGGATAGGTTTCTGCTTTATATCCGCATTTTGAATTATTATTTTTTGGATGGCTAGAAACCAGGCCGGGCAACACAAGACTAAGCTGATCACCGAAGTCTCCCCCATCAATCTGAAGATCAGCGGGAAACTCGTGCTCCAAGGCAGCCAGGTCGGCATCCTCCAACACGGAGGGGTCCATGGTCGGGCAGGCAGACACAAGATGTCAGCAGTGGCACTGATACAATTGCACATAAGCCAAAGCAGAGCGTAAGGGCTTGTGGACGACCTTCACTGCACGAAGCATGAGCCTTGCAAGAAGACAGAGTCCTGCAATTTCACGATGCACAGCAGACGTCTCAGGTGTGCGTGACACAGCCCTATGGCCCTGGCGAGCGGTATGGCTGAAAATTGTGGAAACTCAGCTGGCAGGATCGATCCCTAAGAGGCGCTCAAGAGCGCCAACACGGCTTGTATGGAACCGAGGTCCCACAATGTGGCCAGTCGCATCCTCTAACATGTCGATTCTGCCACCAAGTGCCACACACGTAGACTCGAGGCTACGAAATCGTTTGGAAACAGAAAGAGCATCATCAGAAAAAGGAGCCTCATGAGACAAAACAGGCTCCAATGGCGTGAAAGCAAAAGCTCTGGTGGATGCATCAGCGCTGAATGGCCCACAGAGGGCACGCCGCTGGTTGGGAGTCAAAGAATTGAAGACCTCCAACCACGGGCGCTCAACGCCTAAGTCGCCACTTGAGCTCCCCACGATGGAAATGTCCTCAGAGGAACCAGAGCGCTCCCACACCAAGCTAGTGGCCAACTCGGCGTACGGTTCCTGACAGCCCATCATATCGCAGTCAAAGCGTGCTCGAGCATCGTGGTCAACAAGAGACCTGGTGCGATCAGCCTGAGGATGCAAAGCGGTATGCTTCCAGAGATTAGCCCGAGTGAGCTGACAAGAAGAATCAGCCACAGTAGCTCCACCGAGATCGGCAGAAGTGGTGGCCATTCTGGTGTCGAAGGCACGAAGCGGCTTAGTGACTGCAAAAAGGGCTCGAGAAAAAGAGCCAGAATGTGAAGTTTTGCAAAGTCGACATAAAGAGATCTGCAAAACTGGCCCTTCAATTTTAAGAAGTCGCAGCATTCTCAAGTCGACGTGTAAAAGTCTGTGAGGCTTGACACTGTAATTGCCTGGCGACAGGGCAGAGCCGAGATTATCGGTCTAGTCCTGCAAAGCAATTTCGAAGCGACCTAACCAGTGATACGGAGCTCCAGACTCGAGACTCGATCGGCAAGCCCGAAAAAGGCTCGAGAGATCCCTGTGATCTCGCGTTGAAGAGTTTCTCTGGGCACAGGATCAGCTGCAATCAGGCGTTGTTCCAGAACAGTCACACGCTGCTCTAACTCCCACACATGGTCAGAGAGCAGCAAGAAAGTATCATCAGTGCTAGGTCGCTCTGAAGACCCAGCAGCCGGCTCTTCATCAGGAGGCAGACTGCGAAGGTCAGCCCCGCGATCAGAAGAACTCTCAGGGGCAGACACATCCATTACCTAAGAAGGGAACGGACCTGTGCCGCTTACCGCAAAGACCCTCGTGACTTACAAGCTACACACTCAAAGCTTGGCATTCATGAGCGTGCACAGGAGTCAAAATGAGAGGTCACTGGCACACTGCAAGCATTCACAATCTCGAAAGAAAGCACTCTGCAAAATGCGTTTTGCGCACAGTCTGAGCAATGCACGATCTCGCTGGGCATCGCCAGCAGCTACATCAGAGGTCTGCAAACGAGGCACCGGTACCAAGCAGGTGGCTATGCAAATGTCTGAGTCTCGCGCATTGAGGTTGCAAACTTGAAGCACAGGCTTGGAACGGCACGCAGACTCGAGCTAGGCACAGACAAAAGAAGCTGCAGAGTGCAGGGCCCATCGTGGTCAGTCAGATCGGTTGCGAACCTCCAGAGTGAGACAAGTTAAGGCATGACTCACTTCCGCCAGAGCATCTTGAGTGGCAGCCAACTCCCGACGGAGCTCTGCATTCGCATCCTTGAGGGACTGCACTTGGAATTCCAAGGCAGCCACATCTTCAGACACGGAGTGGAACCTGCGAGACCACTCGACTTGAACCATCTGCACATCAGCGACTGTGACCGCTTGTACGAGCACAGCATCACCAGTCGGCGCAGGATCCTCGACGGGGACCTCCTCTTGAGAAGACTCTGAAGCAGCGGGGGAAACAGCAGGCAACGATTCTCCGTCAGTGATCGCATCCATGCTGAGCACACAACACGCGCGGAAGCCAGTGCGGTTCCCCGAGGGTACTAAGCACCAGCGCCCCCCCCCGCTAGGCCCCAAAAACTTCCACCAGCAACGAGCCAGTGCTTCAGCGGCTCACAAATCAGAGGCAACTGCAAGCACGACTCTTACACATGTACTGTAAAATAAACGACATGTGAGAAAAGCGTGAAGTAGAAAAAGAGAAACTTTCGTAAGCACTATTTCAAAACCAAAAGGTTCTTGAAATTTTGTGTTTGGAAAAATAAGGTGATTGTCACCTCCGGTGAAATAGCACTCGCTGGCGCAGAAAGTCAGCGGCGTTCCTCGGAGCGAGCACGCAGAGCACAGGACGGATGCAGTAGTAAAGCCACCAGGAAAGGAAGGCCCAGAGAGAGAGACCAAGGCCCTTCACCGGTAGGTAGGTGGGTAGGGCTCGACCTGCAGGCGTCATCCCGCCGGAAGTGGCCCAAGTATGGGTTTTCGGCCCGCAAAGGGGGGTTTGGGCCAGATGAGGTGGGGGGGCGACGTACAGTGTGGGCAACAGGAGAAGGGGAAAGACGAGACTGCGCAAGCGGGATAGCGGGGAGAGAACAGAGGCGAGGGCCACTCTTTTTCTTTTTACACCGGGAAGAGCGGCACAAGGAAGTCCAGTGCTTGCGAGGCTAAGAGGAGCAAGCGTTGCAAGTTGCAAGCTGCCGGGATCCGCGCCACTACATTGGCGGGTGCGTGCCAGCAGCCACCGCCGAACATGCTTAAGCCGCAGCACGGATGGGAGAGCTGCTTGGGAGCCAGCTCCGGCTTGGCAGGAGTCGGCAACATGCTGGACGCGCTGTAGGAGATCGCCCACAAGGGACGGGGCACGACGACGCAAAGGGCAGCCGCGTCTGGCCGGAGATAAGCTGGGCGAGCGCCGCAGTTCCAACGGCACTGCGTGCGAGATTGCAGAATGCGGTTGCACGAGGCACAAAGAACACCAACAGAAGCTTTGCAAAAAGGGCATGGTGAAGGGTTCCTGGCTTGGGTTGGGCCGGGCCAGGGACGGCGTGATGTAATGTGAGCAATTGAGGGTGGCCCCAGGCAGGAGCATCGTCGGAGTCTGGCCAAAGCAGCAGGCGGACGCAGGAGGGCCCAACGGAGCTCAGTGAGAAGCGACTGTGCACAGCGCCTTATAAGTTTGAGGGGCAGCACCGCACAATAAGCCAGATCTGAGCCGCGTTCGCGGCTGCTACCATCTACATCAACAGAAAGGAGGGGCTCACGCCCGGGGAGAACCACAAGCCCCCGCCATGCGGACAGGATGGGCCAGCGCAGAGCGTCTTGTTCCGCGCATTGAGCGGGAGGGCGTCAGCGCGAGCCTTAT